TTGAAGGCAGTTGGGCCAGAACGAGGAGGAACAGAGCTAAATCAAAGTTACTGGCACTCCCAGGGACTCGCCTCCTGCCCTTGTCAGCAAGAACGCCCAAACCCCCGTGGGACATGGCAGAAGCGTTCAGCCCAGGTCCTGAGCCAGGGCTTCTGGAGTAGCCAGCCACTCGCCAGGGAGGGGAGTTTGAGAAAGGCTTTCAAATCAGGGGGCAGCAAGGAGAAATGGGAGAGAAGCCCACAGCAGACTGGGAAGGACCTCGCAGATCTTTCCCACGCTAACAGCGACTGGGACTGTGGTATGCCCGGCGGCCTCTGGCCCTCCGGCTCCTCGGCACTGGCTCTGGGAACGCTGCAGTACTTTGCTGGGGACACAGATGGGAAGCCCTGATCTTGTGCTTTGAAGTCACTGCCCCAAGAAACATCTGCTGAGGGCTCTTGGCCTTCGTTCCCCAGCGAGCAAGCACATCTGGCTCACACACCAGGGCTGTCTGCAGCAGGCTGATGGCTCGCTTCTTCTCCTCCACTTCCAGCTTCAGCCTCATGATGGAGCTCGTGACCTCCGTGGCAACAGCCGAGGCCTGCTCCAAATGAGCCAGCTCCTCCTCCGAGAGAAGACCCTGCCACAGCGAAAAAACCAAACAAACGATTAAAAGGTGGTGAGGACCTCCTGGAACCAGGACAAGGAGACAGGAGACCCTTTCCACCAGGGTCTCGCACCGCCTCTCCAATACAGATGGGGTCTCGCTTCAGCGCTCACCTCCCGCTGCGTGGCCGAGGCGGCCGACCTGGGCCTCTCCTGTTCAGACTTCTCCATCTCATCCAGGAAACTGATGATGCTTTGGAGCTTGGCCTCCGAGAGCAGCGCCCCATCCTCAGGGACCCCCGGGGAGTGGTTCAGCTTCCCAAACTTCTCCAAGTTATCAGCGGTCAGGGAATTGGAGCCGGGCTCCTGCTGGGCAGACACAGCTGTGAATGAGCACCCAGGGGAAGGCTTGGGAGAAGAGATGGTGGCTCTTCTCCATCACTGGGGACCAGTTCTCCCACTGCACCCCAGTAACCAGCCTTATCCTCTGTGCTAAGCCCACTCCCATCACAGCCTCAGCATGGTTTTGCTCCTCCTCGCAGGTGCCCAAGCCCCCGGCTGCACCAAACTCCTCCGCTGCCTTCTCCGGCAGCGAACCAGCTATGCTTCTCACCCTCCACCACCCAGCAAGCGCTGGGAGAAGGCAGCCCATAGAGCAACCTGCTCTCACCAGGCAGCCACCACTGTCTGGGGTGGATGCAACCAGTCTCAGCCCTCTGCCTACCCCATCTATCCAGGCATATCTGTCCTTCTTGAAGACCTTTGGCGGGGGCAGCAGCTCTGGCTCTTCCTCCAACAGCCTGAGCGTGTCCAGCAGCTCATTGAGCGTGACCTTGGACTGAGCCCTGCTGACAGCAGTCACCACCGTCTCCAGATCCTCGCCGCCCGTCTCTCTGGAGCTCACATCCTAGGGGAGAAGACAACACACCTTGCAGTAGAAGAGTTTGCTGGATCTCCCCAGAAGATCAATGAAGGCTCCAAAGCCACCCTGGCAGAACAGCTGGTGCCAGGAGCCCCAGGAAGCAAAGCCAGACCCACCTGCAGCTTGTCCTCTGCCCCAGGGTCCCGCGAGGGCGCGGAGCCGAGGTCTGAGAGGCCGCTTTCTTCTGGCTCTGCAGCTACTGAGTGGAAACTGGCCTCTGGAGGAACCAGACTGTTCTCAGGAACTTGCAACAACCAGCCCCTTTGACACAGCTCCCCAGATCGAGAACCACCCCTCCATCCTCCTCCTCCCCGCTCACATCACACGCTGCTCCAAAAGCAGCGGAGACCTGCGGAAGGGACTCACCAGCATTATTGGCTTTGGTGACGCTGCTGGCTGGGCTGACGTTCCTTGCAGAAGCAGGTTTGGCAGGCTTCTTCTTTGCTACCCTTCTACTCTCCTTCACCAGCGCAAGCTCTTCTTCTGCCAAGCGCTTTGCGTCCGAAGCCTTTTGGGCCCTTTTCTGGTGCAGTTCCTGTAGGGACAGACAAGCCATCAGTCTCGGGCCCAGCACAGGGTGTTCTTTGACACATAGCTGCACTGCTTTAAGTGCTGGCAAGGACCCGGGAGACAATGGCAACCCACACGCTTGCTGCTGAAGGGTTAACAAGGACAACTCTAGAGAAAGGGAAAGCACAGGAACAACAGCTCTACACTTCCCTGCTCTGAGCAGAGCAGAGGTGGTGGCCAGGGTCTCGCCAGCTCCTCAGGTGAACAAGGGCTGCTCACACACCCCTCCAAATCCCGAGGGCCGAGCACCGCACAGTGCAGGACACTGCAGTGCCTTAGCTGAGTTTTGGGAAGTTACTTAAGGCACAAGCACGCATTTGCAAGGCTGTTGCAGCATTTTGCCACCCTCCAGCTGCTCACTGTGTGTCTCCCTCGACCCCCCCGATGAAATATGATTCCATTTAGGGCAAAGAGAAATTGTTGGGTGGTTTTGTTTTTTTTTAAATCTTCAGCTATACTGCAAGCCAACGTGCAATTCCTCACAGTCTGTGCCAGCCCCTCATCTGTGCCCCAGGAGCAGCAGCCCTTTCCTGCCACAGAGGTGAAGATGGCGAGGTGCTTCCTGCCAGCGGGCACAGCGTGGTGCTCAGCCCACCCTGGAGGGACCCCACTCCTGAGAAGGGTCCCCTTCCCAGGGCACTCTCATCCTCGGCCACCTGAGGAGCTGCAGATACAGTCTCCCTGTTTCAACGTGGTCACCCTTTCCCCGAGAACTAGATTGAAACCAGCACTGTCTTCACAAGCTCCGAATGAGCTGCCAAGGCTTGGCAGAAGCACAACGGGAATCTGCTCTATGGCACCTCCGCCTCCGCAGGGAGCACTCCATTTCCAAGGCTGGCCCTCATTCTGCTTCGTGCAAAGCCCCGAGAGACGCAGAGGGGAGGCCCTCTCGCTGCCTTGCAAGATGATGCCGACAAACTGGTCTCACGCAGGCCGCAACGCCCTTGCCTTGTCCCTACCTGGATGGCAGCGCGTCGGGCCAGGCGCGCCTTCTCCTCTCGGATCCTCCGGCGTTCCTCATCCTTCCTCTCCTGCAAATCCAGGATATTCCCTTCCTCCATCCGCTGCTGCCTTTCCTTCCAGAGAGGGTCCAGAATGTTACTGAGAGCTCTCCAGCCCCCACCACCCACAGCAAAGGGAAGGGGCACACGGCACCTGAGGTCACCCCATATCCAGGCTTTCCATCCCCCCAGTCCTCCCCTCTGTGCAGGCAAAGAGCTCTCAGAAAAGCTCTACTTTAGAGCAGCTTATTTTCTTTAGATATTAAATGTAATTATTAGTCATCTGAGTCTGAAACCACCAAGGAGACAGGGCTTAAAAATAGACTCTCACATGCAAGAGCTACGGTACTCTTCGTTATTGGAATAAATAATTAAACACAAAGAAACACAAATAGCTGCAGATGACTCGTCACTCTCTAATGAGCCAACTCGTTACTGATTTGCTATGATGAGCCGCGGCAGGGTATCCCTCCTCTGGCCTCGAGCATGTCCGAGACAATAAGAATTTTTTTTTGTGCGGCTACGCCCAAGCGTCTGCCTGCTCACAGCCGAAGGGAGCTGGCGGACCGGAGCTGCGCAGCACCGGGCCCGGGGGCTCCCAGCCTGAACTGCCCCCGGAATCAAACGCGCGCTTCCCCCCACGTCTCTGTGGGGACAGAGCCCTTCTCAGATCTCTGGACTGCAAGGGGCTGGCTAGATGGAAAGCCAAAGCCCCCTCGTCTCCGAGAGCTCCGGTCTCAGTTGCAGGGTCTGGTGACTAAAGGGACGTGGATTTCCCCGCCAGTGAGGCGAGCGGGACACGGGTGTCAGAAGGGTCTGTGCCACGAGGCCGCGACAGGACTGACCTCCCTTTGGGAAGCCAGCAAGCGCCCCAGAGCCGCAGCTCCCGGCCCG